TTTTTTCTTTCCTTTCAAATTCTTTTTTTTTGAGGAAGATTAGCCCTGAGCTAACATCTGTCACCAATCCTCCTCTTTTTGCTGAGGAAGATTGGCCCTGAGCTAACATCTGTGCCCATCTTCCTCTATGCCTGCCATAGCATGGCTTGGTACGCGGTGCGTAGGTCCGTACCCGGGAGCTGAACCCATGAACCCTGGGCCATCGAAGCGGAGCACACAAACTTAACCGCTCTGCCACTGGGTGGGCCCCTGTAAGTTTAAGCTTTCAATTAATACTTAGAAAAATGGGTAAGTGTGGGCCATCAACTAGTAAAATAGTGTGGATGAAGCTGATTTCAGTAAGGTGGGTACTCTACTGGTTCTCAGTGAGACTTACCTTATCCCTTAACCTGTTGAGCACCCACATTGATGATTACCTTTGGCTGATGGAATGTTCCCCTTACCCCCTTCTTCTTCACGTCAATCCTTTTATAGTCTTTTGTTTTGGGCAACGGAGATAAATCTGCCATGAGACTGTAAATTGAGTTGACACCTTCCTGTTTCTTGACAAAGGAGGTAGAGAATTCTGGAGGAACTGATTAAATAGAAGACGAAAATGGGTGGGCAATGGAAACGCTTTCTTGAAGCGGTGGAATATATTTCTTGCACGTTATTTATTGATGGGTGTATTTCCTGAGTTGCTGCCATGCCTTCGTGCCCATTGGTTTGTCCTCCTCTTCCTTACGGAAGCATCCACGAGAGTCTATGTTTACAGATTCCATTTCTTCAAGCAGCGCAGAAAGAAATCCATTTTTGTGGCCAGTGACAATGTTAATAGAGACTTAGAGGGTTTTTGTTGTTGTTTATCTGTTAGCTTCCTATTGGTTTTAAGAGTAGGAATTTCTGCACCAGCTTGAAGTGTTTTCAAATCTGTTAACATTTTATCTTTTTGCACATGTCATTTTACTCCTACTTGACATTGTTGATTTATTTTATAGTAGTTTTCTATGCCAAGGGCAAATTAGGCCACCTCCCGGGGAAGAAATCTCCTGGTTCTCTTCCTAACTCTGCTTAGTGGTTGCCTAATCATTTCTGTTCCTCATTGTCTTGAAAAGTGGTGACTAAAGAAATCCATTTTAAATGCCCTAGATAATCCTGAATTGAATTTTTTTGTCTTCCTCATATATGGATTTCCAGAGACTTTCAAAAGAATGACTGCTGGACATAAATTCAAAGATAAAAATTGCTGAAGAGAAAGAATAGCTGCAAGATTTAAAGCTGTAATTCTCTCTTTGCTTCTATAAAACACTGGCATTCCTGAGGCTAGCTAGAGATATTAGTGTGCTGAAGCCAATCTTTTTTGAAGAACCTAGTCTTTATTCAGCAGACAATGCAGAGCTCTTATGGAAGGTTCTGAACTATGTAGTAAGAATGTTGGTTTTGGAGGCAGGATGGATTGGAATGAGGGAAACTTCTTTCTGTGGGCCACGTCTCCCTTCACCTCCCTGTACCTAACTCCCGGGAATTAAAGACTGCTCCTTAAAGGGGCCTGTGAAAATGCAACGTCAAACTCCATTCCTTCACCAGGTCTTCAGTAGCATGATACAGGGCCCACTTCTCCAGATATGGGAAATGTTTTCCTACAGTTGGCGGAAGCTCACCCTGTATAAAAGTTTTATTTAAGAAGACAAATTTTTACTCCACAGCCTGGTTTCGGAGCCCTGCTTTACTCCTTTCTTTCCCAAAGTAGGGGAGGGATGGAGCTCCCAGCAGGTGTTATTCACAGTGTAGTCCAACAAAACTGGACTGCAAAAATTGGACTAACAAAAATTTAGATTTGGATTTTGGTACTCTTTTTATTTTTCTAGAAATATAATATTTGTCTGCGAGGGATTGGAAATTAGAAAACAAAGACTGGCCTTGCACCATAGATGGTTTGAGAAGCATTGCTCTGGGATGGCCCCACGTTGGAGGCTAAGACCCTTTCTATCCCAGGAAAAGGGTTTTTCCATTCTTCCTTATGACTAAATACAAGAACCTAGGTTTTTTTTTGTTAATTGTAATTGTTTAAAATACACGTAACAAAATTTACCATCTTAACCATTTTAAGTGTACATTTCAGTAGTGTTAAGTGCAATCACATTGTTGTGCAACCAATCTCCAGAACTCTTTTTATCTTGCAAAACTAACACTCTATACCCATTATACAACAGCTCATTTCCCCCTCTGCCTACCTCCTGGCAACCACCATTCTCCTTTCCCTCATGAAATTGACTACTCCATGTACCTCGTGTAAGTGGAATTACACAGTATTTGTCTTTTTGTCACTGGCCTATTTCACTTAGCATAATGTCCTCAAGGTTCATCCAGGTAGCATTTTTCAGAACCCCCTTTCTTTTTAAGGCTGAATAATAGTCCATTGTCTGTATATACCACCTTTTTGTTTATCCATTCATCCATCCATGGACACTTAGCTTGCTTCCATGGATGTACAAATATCTCTGTAAGACTCTATTTTCAGTTCTTTTGAGCGTATACTCAGAAGTGGAATTGCTAGATCACATGATAAATCTATTTTTAATTTTTTGAGGAGCTGCCATACTGGGAAAATTTGGATGCTGATTTATGCCTTGATTTTGGCAATTTGGGGAAGGAGAGCATGGCTATTGGAAAGCCAAGTGTCATGATTTGATGTTGCATAGGCATAATATAGCTATTTTGCTGGCAACATTGTTGTTAGTTCAAAAGTGGAATTTAAAATAAATTTCATGGAGTTTCACAAAGAGGACCGCTCCACCTTCCAAACAAGTTGATGTCGCCGAAGGTAAAATACCTGCAAAGGATGAGGGGACTGTTGGGGTCTGGTGATTGAACGTGACAATCTAAGTAACCCTGATGTAAAAATTTACTCAGTGAAAAATTTACTAGTTCAATGCTAGTCAAGGGGGAAAGCTATCTCCTTTGAAAGACTGATATTTTTCTTTTCTTTTGTCTTGGCTGCTAGGAAATTCGGTGCTAAGTTTTATACTCAGTTCCGTACTTTTTTGTTCCTTGGTTCTTGATCTCCTACTCATTTATTTTGTTTTGATTTTCTTTATAGGTCAATTTTATTGAGATATAATTTATATATAATAAAAATACAAAACGCGTCCATTTCAAGTCTTGACGAATATCTACACCTGTGTAGTCACCACTTCAATCAAGATTGTAGAATACTTCATCCCCCAAAATGTTCTCCCATGCCTCTTTGCAATCATTACTCTCTTTCTGCCCCTTGTTGAATAGTTCCACTGATTCTCTGCCCTTTAGTGTTAGCCATCAACCTGCTAAAAATACTTTTGGAAGTTAGTGGAATATAAAAGAGTAACCACTCAAATGAAATAGCCTTTTCAAGCTCTGGGTTTCCTTCCTGTAATCTGTCATCAGTTTCTTCTTTTTTATATCCAAAAAAGCAGCATTACAACTTCTTAGTACATAAACCTCTTTGCAGCTAACATTGATGAGCTGGTGTCTTATGAAGCACTGCTGGATATCTTTAGAAGACCATGTTTCTTTTTTTCCCCCTTAGAGATTAAATATCTAATTTAAAGGATTTTTTAAACCAGACAATTTTGTTCCTGTATGGGTTTGTCCATATCTAAGTGGCCAACATCTTTGCGAGAAGATGAAATATGTAATAAGCACCAATTGCCTTGTTATAGCATGTTAGAAAGCCAGTGGTCCTGCTTTCTAGTAATTCAGCAACTCACGACCTATGAAAATCTGCAGTTGCTTTTGGAAATGTTAGAGCTATGGTGTGTTTGTTGATGTCCTAAGTGTCTTAAAGTGACAACAAGTTTAACCAATTGGATTGGATATGGGGACAGCCTGGGCTCTAGATAGGTGTGTGAGATAAGTGGAGAGACAGGAGTTATAACTAACTTATGCTGGAGGAATTCTAGGACACGGCTCGCACTGGAACATCATCAGCATGATGTGGATGCTTTCTACTTCTTCCTCAGGATAACGAAGAAACAGCAAGAAGTAATAGAAGCTTTTAACCTTGTTTTCACTTGGCAAATAAAAGGAGTTATTGTCATTATTTTTACCATTCTCGAATTACCTTGACACAATGAATTGAACTCTAAATAGAGATGTAAGCTAAAATATATCATCTTCAGTATTATGCTTTAATGTTTCCTCATAATGTGACAGAGTGGTTTTTAAAAGGAAATCAACAGTAGCATGACCAAAAAGAGTATGAATTATAACCATTTGACATTTTCTTGGAATTATTTTCTGTGTGAATGGTGTAAAAAGGAATGTCATTGAACCAGGTATGTTTACAAAGCACAGAAAGTCCTAATACAAAGATTGCTTGATGTACTTTGTGCCAGTATTACAGCAATGATACTCAATGACGATTCCTAAAATGCTTGACATTTCCAGGCATGGATCTGGGTGTTGGGATGGAGGGAATGTTCATTTGTTTGTTTTGTTTTTTTATTTTTTCTAGCAGTACTCAAATTACTATATGTGTTATCTAGTATTTTAAACTCATTGGATAAGAAAACTATTAACTCAAATTCTCCTATTCATGTGCACCATAATCACATATATTTGGACTGCTTACATCTAGGAACAGCCCAGAGAGCTATAAATAAAGATCATGTAGATTCTTGCGTGGCGACTATAATTTGGCCTCCCAAACGGTCCTGGTGAGCTTGAGTTTGATGTGGAGGGTGGTTCTATGTGATTCCACTGAATTTGATACTTTTTTTTTTATTTTATTTTATTGAAGGAAAGGACAGCACACATAGTCTGCCACAGAGTGAAAATCTTTAAAAGAATCTTTGGCTCTTGTCTTGAACATAATTAAATTTCTATTTTCCTTTTCTTTGCCAGAAGTTCAATGATTGATATTTAATAATTGAGATGTGATTGATTCCCCAAATGTGCTTCCACTTGATGAAAGGAGCAAAGTCTAATCTAATAAACACATGTCGACTAAATTTTTCCTCTTCTCTTTAACTTTCTTTTAGGACTCAGCCCAAAACCATGTTTGCCCAAGTTGAATCTGATGATGAGGAAACAAAGAATGAGCCAGAATGGAAAAAACGTAAAATCTGAAGAATCTCATATGAGAGCTGTTTGCATGAGGGGGAGGGATATTGGCCGGTTTTTTTTTTTAATGAAATAAAAAGTACATTTTTATGAACAAATTTTGTCCTTTCATTATTGAACCACTCAAAAGATTGGTACATACCCTTCACTAAAATTGTGCTTACATTTTCTTACCTACAGCTATTAGACTGTATTATAAGTAAATAAGAAACAGATTCTTAGCCTATTACCAAGTACTTTAGGTATTTGGAAACTTTATTCAGCAATTATTGGTCTTGTACAGATTCTCATAATCTTGAGGGAGGGGAATGGACATTGAGATGTATATCTGTCTTGAGCAATTCTAGGAGCTCAATATGGAAAGAAGCCTCAAAAGCTTAATATTTCTGTATAATTTCACAACAGTTGTTTACATGACTGTAAATAATTAGGCTGAGTTCAAACTAAAAGCATTGCCATACTAGGAAAGAACGTGTATCTGATTATTCTTCAACAGCAGAATGCGGTGGTTGGGAGTTAGGAGGCAGGCTTTGAAGTCATACAGATGTGAGTTCAAATCCTAGCTCTGCTTTTACTGCCTGGGTCAGCTTGGGAGAGTATTAAACTTCAGTCTTCTAGACTCAGATGACGATAGTGCCACCCTCGTAGGTTTGTCAGAAGGATTCAATGAGACTCTCCTTGTCAAGCATATAGAGTAGTACCTGGCACACTGTAAATATACACTATGTGTTTGCTGTTTTAAAATAGAGCTAATGATAGCTACTTTACCTGATTTTTATCAGTATTAAATTAGAAATATATAGAAATGCTTTATAGATATAAGAGCTATATAAGTAGAAGACATTAAAAGTCATTCTAAGAGATCCTTTTGCTTTTGTGACTAGAAAACTAAAACAAAAATTGGCAGTTTGTCCAAAGTAATAGTGAGTCAATAGAATAAAGTTCTGTGGACTGATTTCACATAGACCTGGGGCAGTTTTTGCATGTTAACTAATCCCCGCTAAACAATTTATGTGTTTTAGTGCTCTTGCCTTCTGCTGTCCTGCTCTCATTTGTCCTAGTGAATTAAATAATTATAAAAATGAATGATGATCCAAAATGTATGTCAGAAAGTTCCTGGTTCTACAGGTCTCACATACCACCCCCTGCCCCCAGCCGCCTTCCTCAAAAATCTTTTTTAGTAACCACTCACACTCACACAGCTTTCTTGCCTCTACAGTTCTGAGGTGGCAGGGGGCACCCTTCCATAGATATATCCTAAAAACTTTCTTCTTGTAAACTATTCTCTCCTTTTTCCCTCCCATCCCCATCTTCATCCCATTCCCCTTCTCTTGTCACTTTGTTTGTAGGTAATAAGAAGTAGGACTAACATTTGCTGAGTCTCTGATGACTGCCATTCTAAGCTCCTTACCTGCATTAGCTCATTTAATTCTCACAGAAACCCCCATGAGTAGGTAAGATTGCTAAACCCATTTTACAGATGAGACAGAAGTTGTTCAAGATATCACGTAATCTGTCTGAGATTACAATTAGGGAGGGCTGTGTGAAGACACCCAAGATCTCTAAACATCAGTAATTAACAAACTGCTCCGTTTCCTAGTCCTGTTGAAATACACTTCATCCAAAATCAATTATGGGCCAATATTTTATTCCAGCTGCTTAGGATTCGTAAATTTATTGCTTCTTGGATAAAATTTACTGAAAGCATTTCATATGTTTCCCAGTCTTAACATAAACATTGCACCATATGGAAGTATTCGTTTTGCACAGCCAAAAGTTGCAGTGGAGGATTGGAAGGAGGAATAAAACTTGATCGTAGTGGTCTTGGCGGAGTCTGCTATGATGTAAGGGAAGAGAAAGGCAAATTTAGCACGAAGATGATTTTCTCATTGTTACCCGTAAGTGGCTCTTTTCATGCTTGAGATGATCTATCTCACTCAAGAGAGTTTTATAAAAAATTATTTTTTCCGCACATGATTGGCAAAAAACACATAAGAATTTCAATGTCATTTTTGGTGACCAAGGAACTTAGACCAGGACTGGACAAATAGTGGGTGCTCATTTGATGTGTAGTCCCATCACCAGGGTAGACATCTCCAGTTGGTTATCCCACAGGCCCTCACACTCCCATGCCCCTCAGGCCTCATTATCTTACCCCATACAACCTTGTATCCCCTGTCTTGGTCAACTACATTTCTATTTGCTCAAATAAGGAACCTGGAAGTCATAATAATGACTCCTCACTCACCCCCACTGCCACCCCATTTACCCATTTGCCGATTTCTGTCGATGCTGTCATCTGAATCTCTCATGTTTGCCCTTTCTCTCTGCTCCTACTGCCCCTACTAGAATTTAGACCCTCTTTTATCCCTCACCAGGACCTCTCAGGAGCCTCCTTCCCAACTAGTCTCCCTGTTTTTCACACACACACACACCGTCTAACTGAGTTAGCTTTCTGAAACCAAAACCTATCATTTCATTCCTTTGCTTAGAGCCCTCCAGAGGCTCCATGCCAGTGCTTCTGACCGATTTGTGTAGCACTTAGAACATCCAGCATTCAGCCTCCCCCTGTCTTTCTTGCTTTAACTTCTGTTGATCTTGCACATGCTTCTGAGGTCCAGCCACACTGACCCAAAAGGTACCATGTTCTTTGACACCTGAGTACCTTTGCACATGTTGTCCCTCTTTCCTCCCTTGTCTGCCTGGGAAATTCCTATTTGTTTCTGAATATGGGGATCAATTGCACCTTCCTTGAGCAGTCTTCCATGACCCATCCAGGCAAACAATTAGTTGTTCCCTCGTCTGCTCCCATAGTTGCTTACATATCTCTCCACTGTAGCCTCCTTGTAGATGCATTGTAAATGCACACATATCCATGGCTTGTGGGCCTGAGTGTGTGCATTTCCCCCACTGGGATGGAGATTGTAAAAACTAAAGCACATGGGGTTCTGTGAATATTCAATGAATTTGTTTAATGAATGAGAGGAGCCATGTTTAATTCAAATTTGTGTTCCTAGACCCTAGCCCTGAGAAAGAGGTTAAAAGGGTGCTCATTAAATCTTTGACAGAGGGAAGGAGAGAAACAGGGAAGGGAGAGGAAGGGATGGGAAGAGAATGAGGTGTGAGAAGTGTTTCTGCCTCTCAGATGGGAAGGAGGATTCTTAATATGGAAGCTTGGTCTGTACCAAGGTTGTTTTGCCTTTCTCTGTTGGACTTTATTCACAGGTAACTGTTGTGATGGCTCGAGGAAGAAGCAGGATTGTGAACAGTTGTGTTTACTGTTCCTCGCATGACCCAACAAGCCCTAGGCCACCATGACATCCTCAGATGCTCACTTCCTGTCCTGTCGGGGTTGGTACCATGAAGGTCATGGGACCCTGAGTCACCAAAAATCTGAGATATCTCTAGCATGGGGGTTATTGACATAGGCAAGGTGTCTGTGAACCCCTCAAAGTATGCAGCATACTTTGCTTATGCTCATGTACATTTTTCTGAGAGAGGATCCATAGCTTTAATTAAAATTCTGGGATACTGGGTGTTGCTAGCAGCTCTTTCATCTTCCAAGAGGTCTTGATAAAATTGGCTATTCAGACTTGAAAACCAGGACAAAACTCTCACACACACAAAATACCAAACAGAACAAACTAAACTAAAACCTGTAACACACTGGCTCACATTTAATCTTAGGCAGTTAATCTTATTGCTTTGTTGTCAGACCTTAATATTTATTCTCTAAAGACTATTAGCCTTCTCTCCCATTAAAAACTAAGGAGATCAGCTTCATGATCACTTAAATGCAGGACCCAAGTGTGAGCACTTCTTTATGTGATCTAAGAGTGAGTATTAGGAAACTTGAACCAATTTGAGAAAAGCTTTTAAGAATCAATATGACTATTTCAGGCAACTATGAGCCCTTCAGAGTTTAATAACTGATGAGTCAGATGTGGTAGGAGAAAGGGAGGGCAATGAGATGCTTGCTTAGTTGTATACATACAGCTTGGATCAGTAGCTCTTCAGAAGTCATGTGCTTCATTTATTTGTCAGTCTTCTTGTATGTGAGAATGTTGGGAAATGCAGGAGTATTGTTAACAGACACCTTTTGAAAAGTATCTATCTGGAATGGGGCATACTACAAGCTACCATGACCAGTACTCTTAATTTTTAGTTAACACCCTCAGCAAAGAACTGAGAGAAGACCAGGCCAGGGGTGAAGGGCCTAAAGATGGGAAATTTCGTGTGTGTGTGTGTGTGTGTGTGTGTGTGTGTGTGTATGTGTAGAGGTATATAGATGGAGAAGGGGCTTTGAGGGCAAAGAGGGGAGAAATTTGGTATTCTAAGTAGTTTCATGAATTATCAGAGAGTTTATATTAGGGGTCTTCAAAATTTTAAATAAAAGCATTTTAAAGGTACTTCACGTGCCCCTGCTTGCAACAATACTCATTAAAGAAAATTTGAAAAATGTCGACTTATATTGGTAGATCAGAGATGGCCACAAGTTCTTTAACATTCCTCTCATCAAGAAAATCCCCTCCTCTTAAATCTGAGCAGGCCCCGAGATGGCTTGATGAATAGAACAAGGCAGAAGTGATGCTGTGCTAGTTTTCAGGCCCAGGCGTTAAGAGACTTGCAGTTTCTGCTTCCTTTCTCTTAGAACACTTGTTCTTGAAACCTGGCTGCCATGCGATGAGGAAGCTCAAGCAGCCCCATGGAGAGGCCCACGTGGAGAAGAACTGAGGCTTCTGGCCAACAACCCCATCTGACCTCCCAGCTGACCACCAGCACCAACATGTTCTTGAGCAATCTTGGAAAGCGCATCCTTCAGTCACAGTTGAATTACATTAACTGTTGTCGCATGAGGCAGAAATGAGCCAACCTCTACTGGGCCCTGCCCAAATGACAGATTAATGAGAACAATAAATGCAAGAAGCAATAAGTTGTGGGGTTGTTCATTATGCAGAAATAAATAATTGGCACAACCTAAAAGATAAACAGAAATCATTCAACCATTCAAAGACAAACAATGCTGATATTTTGATGAATTATTTTCCTTTTTTTTCTTTTATGTACAATTTTGTGATTTATTTGCTCTTCTTA